CTGGTTGCTTAGGATGCTCTGGAGTGTTTCACTGAGGTGGTGGTCCAGTCGAGAGGTACTGTAACGGCGACATTCTAACAGGACATGGCTTATTGTTAATCTGGTGTTGCAGTGTTCGCAGACTGGAGGATTTTCGGATGCCATTAGGTAACCATGCGAGAGGTGAGAGTGGCCTATTCTCAGTCTTCGACGATTTTGTCTCTTCTTGACATTGGTGGTATTTTGGTAGGAGTTACGTTGACTTGGATTTGGTGCAGTTTCGTGTTTAGCCTATTCCAGTGCTGCTGCCATGTTTTTAGGCTGTCTCGTCTGATGAGAGATTTTATTTCCTGTGTGTGTTTATCTTCAAACACAGCGCCATCTACTACCTTCTTATAATGAATGCAGTATAGTAGCCTGAGGTTAGGGCTTCATCAAAACCCAATCCAATAATCCTATTATTAAAAATATTCTCTCCACTGTAATAGTGTCAAAATTAAATATTTAAGTTGCCCAATATTTGCACAGTTAATGACTAAATTTGATCAGCAAAGGTAGAAAGCGAAATGTCGTAGTGAGGGTGGTACTAGTTGGGTTTCAAGACGTAATCCATTCCCACTGCAATAAGCCCAAAATGTAAAATTTTAAATTCATATTTTTAGCTTAATTAATTAAATGGCAATTTTGGCCCTAAAACAAAAAAATTATGGAACTCAAATGTACTTACAACCAAGAATTTTGCAGTACCGCTGCGGGTAGTTTGGCGATAGAGCAGTGTCAATAGCTACTGCAATAATCGAATGATTAAACAATTTTGAAAAAAAAATAAAACCACCCGTGACGTCACATTTTCTGCAAATTTAATTTTTAAATGTAAACGCCAGTTTCGACCAGCTGGTAAAAGTACTTTTTAGTGCGTAAGCCAGTAACTTGACGTCAAAGCATTTTACTGCAAGAAGCCGAAAATTAAAAGTTTATTTTTGTACAGGGTGGAAATGTCTGGAACACTGAATAAATTTCAAAAACGATGTTTTTCAAAGAAGCTTTTTATGGCATTCAAAATTATAAAAAGTCTGCTCCCAATTACGTATGTACTTTAAATGTGTGGTCAGTGGCGGACCTCTGCATGGTCAAAGGGGGCATATTTTTTAAATAGCAACCACTTTGTTATCATTACAACAGACTACAATATTGTTTCCATAGGAACGACAGAAGAACCTAGACTTGCTATTTTGAACGTCTAAATTAAATACCTACAGAATTTTTAGAAGTTTTATCATGATTTCTATGCCTTTTTTATTATACAAGACGATAAAATCGCTTCGTAGCTCAAAGCAAATATAAAAAAAAACGTTTTTGACAGTCTTACGTCCTTTATCCCTAAATATGTACACTGCCACTGCCATATTAATTTGCTGTATACCCCTAATTTATTACTAAACACTAAATTGTGCAAATTCCCACAGGAAAAGTTTGTTGACCTCTTACGGAATCCTCTGCAGAATCCAATGTCATTTGGATGTTATATTAAACGGTTATTAATTACCGTGAATTTTTTATTGGTACATACTTTTGGCTTGTTTTGGATTGCTTGTATTGTTTTGTGCATCTTTTTCTTAACACAGAACTGCGACCTTGACGCACTTTTTGTCAAGCATGCGAAAATTATTTAACAATCTTTTAAAAAGTGCCAAAACCCCGAGCAAAACCCTAAATCGCGAAATTCGCGTCATGTTTGTATCATTTTCGTGTGCTCTTTTTTAAAGAAAAGATTCTGCAACTGTTTCCCTTAAAACTAATCAGCATGGCCAGGAAACTACCCTATACCCTCGCCTATACTTAAATTTTCATCTGGGCCCAGGTTTACGGAATTAAAGATTAATTTTCTTCAACAAATCCTTGAAGATAAAAGCATGATGATCAAAAACGAACGGAGGATGCATGTATCAAAGTCACTGACGCAAATAGTTGTAAATTTTTGCAAACAAAATCTTTCCGACGCCACCAACTTGAAAACAATCCGATCAAAAATGTAGAAGAAGATAGGAAAAAACGGAAAAATCACCACGTTATATTCCCGTCCCTAAAGTTGTTAATTATACGACTCCGGTAGGTACACGTACACTCCTCGTATTTAAGCATTCTTCTACGGGTGCGCAATTTTTTAATGCCAGCCAGCCGACCAAAGTGAGATTAAAAGCTACTTTTTACAAATAAATTTGCAAAGTGCGCAAAAAATTGGAAAAGATTATATAGATCTATATAAGACTTAAATGTTTATGATAACGGAGAAGGAAAGTGTCCAAACAACGAAATATAGGTGTCTATGTTATTTTTTCTCGTCGCATGCTGTAATCAGTTTTTGACAAATTTCAAAAATTTAAACAAATTATCAACATTTACTAGAAAATTCAATGCTAGCGAACTCGTTTTTGGAGTTTTCCCGTTTTTTGAACTTCTTTTTCAATAAGAAAGTGACACCAAATAGAACTTCCTACGATAAATCGTTGAAGGACGATTTTCATTTGAAAAAATGTTTTTTGTCGAAAAAAAAATCTGTCGCAATCCTTTTAATTTTTTATATTGAAAAAATTTTGTAGTTATTTTAAACATATAAAAGTATACTTCAACCGAGTCTCGTTAAAATAAATTCATTTTTGCGGGAATGAACAATACAACAAAAAACATGGTTTTCCTCGATTTTTTGGGATTATGTGAGAGAGTTACTGAAAAGAAAGTAGAACGTTTCACGATATACAGCTTTTCCATTCCACACTTTTGTCTCTGAACTTTTGCCGGAAATTGCCTTCATACGATTTTCACTCTCTTTCACCCTCCCCAAAACCGAGCCAAAAACCGTATTTATTTTTTTTTATTTGTTATAGACCATTTTAACCTCGATTTTGACATACCCACTTGGCAAAGCTCCATTAACAATTTTCTTTTGTAAAAAGTCCAATTTGCCTGACTATATGTGTACATTAGGCACCAATAACAGTTGTCGCTTACTATTTCCATACCATCCATTGAGTAATTGAATATTTCACTCAACGAGAAAATCGACCACTTTGAAACATTAGGTTCACATAAACTAAGAATACATGTATATGTTAGGATCAAACACAGATTTCGGTCAATGACCGAATAATATAGCCAAATATCGCTTTCCGGTTGTTTAATATATGTCAGAATGCGTTTTGGAACCGTTCCAATGTCAAAATGCATCTGATAATTCTTTCATATTGTCAGTACATGCAGCCAACACGTTCAAAGGCCATTATGAGCTACAGTAAACAGCCGGAAAGTAGTTTTTCGAGCATTGGCAATATGCTGGTGAAATTCTTTACGCTATTTAAGGGATAATATGTGGCATATTAGGTGTCAATCAAATTTGTGAATTATTGTTACCCAACCACCCATGATATTCTACCTGCCCTTCGTCACTAGATTTACGTAAGCAAAGTATAACCACGTTAGAAACCTGTTATTATCACAAAAACTGCGAATGTATGTATCAATACTTTTGACGTTATTTAAGATTTGGAGTGTCAACCAAATTGATAATTTATTATTACCTACCATACATACTACCCACAAAAATTCTACTTGTCTTTCTGTAACACCTTTGCTTAAGAAAAGCGATTATTTTAACAAAAACTGAGGTTACATGTATCGGTATTTAAAGATGGGTAGATTAAGTATCAATAAATTTCTAATTCCTCTAGTTACTAACTCAGATGAGAATTAACCCTATCCAACTGTTAATGTGTTAATGAACTCATAAAATTTTAATTTGACAGTTTTTGTTTTGTACTCCTAGGTTTCGTAAAAAATAAAGTGCGCGTTCGCTTGTGATCTAAAAATGCTTTCATCTGGAACAACAGATTGAGCTTGGCAGAAGTGACAACTTTTCATCAAAATTACAGTTTGAAATGGGAAATTATTTTCCTGATATAAAGTTCTAATCCACATCTAGAAACCAAGCCATATAAGTGAAAATATTTTCATAACAAACTGCTTTCCACTCTCCAATGATGCATTAAATCATCAAAAACCACAAGGCTACGAAATTGTATGAATGGTAGCCGATTGAAAAATTCAAATCTGGATTATTATAGATACATGCAAGACCTGAACAATCAACAAATTACAAATTCAGAGAGGGTAGTACTTGTGCGAATATTTAGTGCATTAATACATTTCAATTGCAGTAATTGACGTCAATATTGGGATAATGTGAGCAGTATTACTAGGCAAAACCTTACCGGAAATGGATGCAATAAATTGAATAAGTACGAAATGTGTTGCAGCGATGCAAAACCTTCACTTAACGGAAACTTAATGACGCATTGTAGGTTTTTCTGCTTCCACAACACAACGTAATTTAAATTTAATTGCATGCATCTTATGCTTGAGACTTGAGTTATATTTCAATAAAAATTAAGGGGATAAATCTTTTGACCGATTAAAGAGCAAACTCAATTTGAATTGCTAAAACTACTTCATGATTCTTCTTTTGTTGCTCGCGAATGAAGCACGCCTGTTTTTGTTAATATATTAAAAAAGCCGCCACGCTCCTTTTTAATTTAAAATGTAAATAGTATGTGGATTTTTGTATCACTAATTTATAGTGCCATTCAATTCGCGTTCGTACTGGTAGGTACTTTATGAATAATTTTTCGTCTATTATACACACCTTAAAAGAGTTGCAGGAAATTTGCATACCGGTCGTATAAATTAAGCAATCTTTAGACTTTGTGAATCGTGTACGTTTTGCCAGACTAAAAGACCGGATCTAATAATGAAAAGGGGCAGCCACACATAAGAATTCAATCAAAGGTTTTCTGAGTCCATAAGTTAGGGCGTATTTTTCTTTTTTTTGTGTTTATGGGTAATAATATCGTTACCGTAAAGTTACATCACGCACTCTGTCATTCTTTACAAAGAAAGCCGACTCTTTATTGCAAACATGCTTCGGAATTTTTTATCTTTGAAGTGAAGGCGAAATAAAACATCGGAGATAAACTTACGTTTTTTTTTAAATTTAATAAAAAGGTCGCACCATTACATGTAAATCATGGTAACATTAAGAATACTGAATTAGTATTAATTATTAGGTTTATATTTTATACACAGACATGTTATGGATTATTTCACATTTACACTGCTCTGTAATATGTTTAGGACGAATAACTGTTTTTGCATCTCTACGTTTTACACTATGTACAGTCGGGGGGTTAAGTACGTACAAATACCTAGACATAACTCTAATAAATATAAAAATAAATAACTCATCTCGTATTAGTTTATTGTTTTGCTGTTTTTCTCCTTGAAATTTACATATAGACAATGATTTTTTCAACAGACCCGATAAATACGAAAAGTTTAACAATTACCTATATTGAAATCACGTCCTAACGACGATGTTTGACTTTTTCGCATCGCTGGGAAAGTAAAGGTGCATAACAATAAATTTGGCTAGCAACAAAAAAAGAAACATGCATCGTTAGGACACGGACTGTACAAGCGCGGCATAAAAAAGATTCAAATGAACTCATTTTACTGTCAATAAATAGCACCTACAGGAGGGAATTACGTGTAACATTCGTTTAACGATCACATTTACGAGTGGAAAATAAATGCTAGTGGTACAGAGGGGGATGATGAGTGAGACACCCAAAAATAAAAGAGCTTTCATGCATTTAACTTAATTCTTGTTTAACTTACAATTATTATAAATATGCTCTTTCTCAGTCTTCTGACAGTATGTATACCTCTCCGCATGTATTGGATGCCTAATCTACGTTTATCTATTATTATATACAAGAAAATTATCTATACAGGTCCGTTGTTCGCCAGGAAACTCCGAATCGCGAAGCTCCAATATCACATGATTTATTATAATTTTTAACACCTAATAACGTAAATATCCAGTAAGTCCTTTAATCTCACAGCACTGAACACAATGAAACGTTTCATTGTCGGTTTGAGCAAAACTCACACTCGCTTAGGAACAATAGTCTTTGGTATAAAAGGTGACGAAGACGTTTTAAACATCCGTACCGCAGCCTTCCTGATAGCCCTCGTCGGGAGAATTTCGGTTGTGCGTTAGCGCTCTCTTTAAGGCGGTAACTGGTGGTAGCACCGGAACTCCCCCCTTTTGCCACACCCTTAGTGTCTTAGCATTTGTCGGTAGGGTGATTTGTGTGGAGGTCGTGACGGCAGTCTCAATTTTTGGTTCAACAATAGGCAATCCATAATCGGAAGGATACCCTACTGCTTTATTGCGATATTCTAATTCCTCCTCGGACCCTCCGACGCTCAAGCCGTCGCCTATAATTGGAGTTTTATCGTCGTAATGGAAGCCGGGGTTACTGGTGCTCATAAGTCTTGAGTACGTTTCCGAGTCGCTGTGTTCCCACAGCCCCGAAGGATACAGAGAATCGACGTTTCTGCTGTACTCTCCGCTACCCGGCCGCTCCAACGCCTCGACGTTAAAGGCGTCTTCGCCCTCTAATATTTTCGTATCATTTATCAAATCCGGATTATTTCCAGATCCCGACGAAGGGGAGACGAAACAAGAACCGGGATTAATGATACTTCCGTTGCCGCTGTAGTGAGTGGTTGTGTAGGCGATGTCGTTAAGACGCGGTGGTTTTTGTACGGGGTTGCAGAAGTTGAGATCGCTGGGTATTTTGCGTTCCGTAAGCGAGGAGGTTTCGTTGTTGGGGGTCGTCGGCGAGGCGGCCGACTTGCCGTTGGGGATTCCGGTGCCGTTGACGACTGTTACCACCTCAATTTGGCCCGGTGTTTTACTTTCGGAAAACGGTATCCTCTTGAGGCGCACCAGCAGTATTAGTATCACGAGCAATATAAACAGAATCAGAATAACGAGCGCGGCGCTGAGACCTGCGATCTGTCCACTCCCGAGGGTTACCATACCCGCAGCTCTCATGGAGACGCGAACGGTGAAATTTGCCTCAGCATTGCCCGCACGGTTTTCGGCAACGCAGTAGAATTCGCTCGAATCGGTCTCCTGAGCGTTTGTGAGTACCAGGTGGCTGTGCTTTTGGAAGCCACCCTCTTCGAATATAAAAATTTTTTGATGCGAACTAAAGGCCGAGTTGTTAACGAGCAATCGACCGTTCCAGTACCAATTAATGTGGGCAGCTGGTACGGCATTTGCCTTGCAGACGATGGTAATGTTATCCCCGGTGTTCGCCTCGATGTATCGGCTTACTGGTAGAATATCGGGTTTGCAGGCGTAATCATCCACGTGTAATTCCGCAAAGGTCTTGTCGATTACCCTTTCGGGTCCACCACTGCACACCGGAGCTATGGTCATGGGGATGTTGTGCTGCGTAAGCCACTCTTTGACCGGTCTCATTCGGCAATCGCAATGCCAGGGGTTGTCCTGTAATTCGACACCGTGCAATCGACTAAGAGTTTGAACGGTTTGAAGTCTCAGCTCGGATAAGCGATTACTATTTAGTTTTAATTCGAGTAATTCTATTCCGTCGAAGGCTTTAGGCGATACCATTTGCAGCTCGCAATGCGAAAGATCCAATTTCACGAGTCCGGGAACGGTTTTAAAGGCCCTACTGTCAATTTTTTGAATTGGATTATGGGATAAAATTAAGTCTCGTAAAGAGGGTATATCTTGAAAAGTTCCCGATGGAATCGACGTCAGCAAATTATAAGATAAATCCAATTCTATGAGGTTTGTTAAACCCTTAAACGCTAAATCATCAATTTGTCCGATTCGGCAGCTACGAAGGAAAATCCTCTGCAGATTTAGTAAACCCGCTCGTAGGAAAGTCTCGCGCGATAATATTTGCAAATTGTTACCAGACATATTTAGAACTTGCGTAGCCGAGTCAACACTTTCGGGAATAGTTATTAATTCCCTATCCATGCACTCCACCGTTTGTTTCCCACTTTTCCACTTGCACGAACATATCGTGGGACACGTACCGCTTGTCCCGAAACACACGCGAAATTGAATTAGAAATCCAGTCAAAAACAGCAATAATTGCGCGCGGTGAAAACTTACTAAACTCTTCATTTTTAAAAATTAAACATCACCCACTACTCTTCAATATCCCTTCGGTAACTCGCATTCTTTGCACGCGCACCAAACTAGATTTTTACTTCGCGTTTAAAGAGATTAATTAAGCTCCAGCTTGTGACAGCCTCACGTATGTTGCATACGAAGCACTTCTTCGCCGTCCGCGCACTAACTACCGAGAGCGCCTTCACCAAAGCAGACCCGCGCCCTCGCGCCCTTCTTACCGCGCCGAACCGTTGCGCACTGCTTCACAAGTAACTACCGCATCACCGTGGTACTGATTTTTGCTTCAACCCCTCAGAATGATACTTATTATTGCAATCCAGCTCCGACATGTGGAAATCTTATCATCGCCTTCGGCGAAAATCCCCTAATTAAGACAAATCACCTTACTCCAACTAATAAATAAATATTAAACATTGTAGAGAAACCCTTAGATTGGGTTGTAGCACATAACTTATGCTAATTATCTTATCCTTTAATTAATTAACGTTCAACGGTCTTAAGGACTATTACTTGCCTCTTGAAATTTCCAGCCAAGCCAAAAAGGTAACTTAATCCACAATTTTCCTGCTAAAACGAGCAGGAATGCGAAACGAACGGCGGCGTTCCGAAATTAATTTCAAATGTTCATTAGCTATGAGGAATGATAATGTGTGATTAAGCTTCTCGAGATTCTTATAAAAAGCCCGGAGTTTCTCAAGTATTGTCTATTCCGTTTCACCAGGCGTTCTATCAATAAATATTTATGACTTTTCACATTTAAGAAGAAGGAACTCGTATAAGATTATAGGCCATTTAAGGTTTTTGAAGTGTAAACGGAGGGCTAAAGCGAGGATGCGCTAGCAAATTATATATTTAGTACTATTACGAATGCGCAAATCAAAGCTCTAGTCTAGGGACAGATGCAGCTTAAAGATTACTCATATTGACAAATTCTTCAACGCTGACCCCATGCACTTTATTGGAAGGAAAGCGGAAATTTGCTGCGAGTTTTAAATTCCTCTCGAAATCTGAATGTCTATGAACTGAAACTGGAAATCGTTAAATCATGTTAGTTTTCATCGAGAGGGAAAGAAGGCTTTCGACGTAGTTACGGAATTTTTTGGAAGAAGCTCTCCATTTTATTTTTCTTTGATAAAGGTATTTAAATTAGAAAATTCAGCTGGTCAAAGAAATTATTTATTTATTCTTTAGGCGATCGATTTCGAAATGTTCCGTCATCTTCAGGCCGTAGCTAAAATATTACATTGAGAATGGTGATAGTGCTTAATGTAATTTAATACCGTTAAAATTGAAAACTGAAAAAAAAATATGGAGGTTCACTGAATTTTAAAAACTTGTAAAGGGGACAGTCACTTCTTCAATAACAAAAAAGGGCTTCGTTAAATTTTGATCAGTAGAAGAAAGGCTCGCACGGTAATGTTTTCTTTCATTTCCTAAATTTCCAATTTTGGAGGTTGGCAAAATTTTAAATTTGCTGTTAGCACGAGACCTCTTAGAATTATTATCGATGAATTGCTCCATTATTAGAATTATAAGGATGCATTAAATAAAACGTTGAATGTTACTGTATACTTATAATTGTTTTTACGTTTTTCTTTAGGTGCCGAAATGGATAACCTAAAGAAAAACGTAAAAACAATTATAAGTATACAGCAACATTCAACGTCTCTTAGAATTAGTTCAGATGAAATTCGTACAATCGATAGATTTTGTACATATAAAAATAATAAAAAATAATTTCTGGCAAATACAAAGGGTGCAACATACTAATAAGTGGTTATAAAAAGAGGGTAAAGTTGTAATTCGCTTTGCTTCCGGAAAATTTTTCCCTGGAATATTTTCCATGATAGGTATACAGGATGTAGCATCTAAGACTACCCAGATCATAATTCCTTTACCACTTTTCGACAGCGGTAATTCGTTCTGGGTAAAATGACCTTCTTTACTTTGTTGAACTTATCAAGGGTTGAGCGCCAGTCAATTTCTAACTCAACTCTCTCCGCATGAAATTGAAAAGATACGGGGGGATGAAAAAAGTATAAACCAATTGAAGTACCAAACTCAATGCTGGTTTATCGTCATTAAATGGCAAGATAAAAATTGTCTCCCAATGGAATAGCTTAACAATACAACTATTTAAATGTCACAACTATAAGTTACTTAAATCTCAGTAGGTACAATTGAATAATCCCAGTTTAACAAAACTCCAATCAAGAATGATCGATTGATTAATTGATCGACTTGATTTTATGATTTAGAAAACCACTAAAGTTCTGGATTTAAACTTCAGATCCAGGCTACGCAGCGCAGCTATCAATTCATTACAGAGAATTTGTGCTAAGGTACAGGGAATTTTTTTTCAATTTTTCCAATGAAAGACGGAACCGAAATATTTCGTCATGTTTTCACTAAACAACAAAGTACAAAACCCAGACAAGGAATGGGTAGATTTTTTACGATTTACTCGGTATGTGTTACCACTGAAACTTAATTCCAGATGTTTTCAAAACGTATCGGATTTTAGAGGACCACAATAAACTAGGCGGGTTTCACACAATAATTTCTTCCCGTGTCGGCACTTTTTGAAAATTGACGACAATAATTCTATTAACCGTAAATAAGGCCATTTCAATAGGGTCAGGTGTTCGGTGGAACAGAAATATTTACTGTTTGGAAAAATATACGATTTTAGGCAGGTATAGAGCGCGGGTATATGATTACCATTGATGATTCACAGAATGTAGTTGTAAATTGCAACGTAACAAAGAACCGAAGGGTAAACGAACCCTAATTTACAAATCCGGAGAAAAAGGTGCGCGTCAAAGGTTTAAAACTCCGAAATTTGTCGGAAGGATTAACAGGCAGAAAGCAAGGGAAGCTTTAGTTATTATTAGTGCGCCTACTGAAAGTGAAAGATTGAGTTGGCAACTGCGTTTCAGCAACTTTACGTGTCTCGCGATGAAATCTGACATGACTCCAAAAATACCCACCGACAGATGTAAATTGCTTTAAGACCAAATAAATTAATTTATGAACATCTTACGCCAACCGTACAGTCTGTCTTCTTTGTTGGTTTACGATACCATATGTTTCTTTGTTTTAAAATGGAGTGCGGCCAGACAGCAGCCGATGCTTTTACTCATTTCGTAGGAAAAATTCAATTAGCCGATTTCGAGAGCAGTGCATTAAAATACTTGTAAACTACGAACTCAAATGTTTGCCACTCGCTTAAATGTATTTAAAGTACATAAGCATTATATTTTACCATGAAAATTCAGAACGGAAAACTTTTAATACATTGCTCTATTCAGAAATTGGTACATATTTCTTTCTGGAATAAGTTGATCGAAAGACCATGATTGCATGTTTCAGTTTACAGCACTTACTATCAGAATTTAGAGCGTATCCTTAAAATATTGACTGCATTTGGAAGATTAGCTGGTTCTGAGACCCTTTCTGCAAGATGGCAGTCTTCTAGCAGTGATATATGTAAAACAGTTACCTAGGATTACTGTAATCTATTTGGACAGCAGCTTTACAATTTGGTTGAAAAAATCATTCTGTGATCTGATCGCATCCAGACCAGGCTTGCCAGCTTACTACGTGGACAGAGACAATTCTCGAGTCCAGACCGCGACGTAGAAGCTGGAAGATTCCTTTTCAGATAAGAAGAATTGTACATCAGGATGTCACGATATTTGGATTAAACGCTAAGTAGCTTTTTATCAGCGATAAAAATGCGTGTAGGAAGACGTAAAATGTTGGGAAATTTACTGTCTTTTATTAATCTTCCTAAATTAAACTCGATCTTGGTTTTAAATCAGGATAATTTTATTTTTAAATTCACTCAAATCTTGTTGCCTCCTGGAAAAAACTCGCGATCAAAAGCATAATATTAATAAAATCGCTCCAGCTAAAACTGTCGCTATTTTATCACACTCTTGATCTCTAGTTTTTTCCGTTACAACAAAACTTTCGTGTAAAAATAAAATTATCCGATTAAAAATCAAGCTCTTGTGTATTTACCCCTGATTAATTTTCCCTTTTCCTTTTTTGTAGCTCTACGAGTAGCGACGTTATGGCCAAAAAAAACCGAAAACCGAAAACTGTATGTCGAAAATGCGCTGGCGTTAATTTATCTTCAAAGATATAAAAAAATAATTTCGACAATCTCTCAATTTCCCAGCTTTCTGATGGTGCTAAAAAAATCTGATATTGCATTTGAAACTCCAGTAAGAATATCTGAACTAAATCTCAAAGAATCGAAGGCATTTTCAAACTACCACCCTTTAACCTGGCTGTTGGAGTGACTTCGTTAAAACCTTAGTTGTAGGTACGCTTTTAGAAAAAATAATCCTAGGAAGATATTTACATAACCTACTTCAGGGAAATTACTGAGAAAGTTTGAATTACGATTTGTTAGTTTTTATAAGAACGGGTTCACAGGGGAGTTCTAAGAATACTTTTACGATATTCCTCACGTGGTTTTTTAGTAACACTCCAAAGAATATTCAAGTAAGTGTTTTAAATGTGTAAGGAAGGATTTCACGATTGGACTTGTTTAAAATTATGTGAAGGGTGGCAGAATTATTATTTCAAAAAAGAAACTAGTACGAAAATAGGTGAGGCTAGTAGAATTGGTATTAGGGCCAAAAAAATTCGAACCAGAATCTAGGGAAGTGGGCGATTGAGGGTAAGTCTAAGTATGTAAAAAAGTACTTATTTAGTAGGCAGTTTTAATAGTATGGGAAATGATTCATGTGACAGTGGCTGTAGAGCAACTTTAACATGAACACAAAAATGTTATTGTATCCAACAAGCAAAACGCAACAATGTCACAAATGGGTTAAATGGTTCGACTTAACTATTGACTATCGTAAAATTTTTTTCTGTTAATTCAATTGTATGAATTACAAGTGCATATTAAGCATAAAATCGCTGACTGGCATTTAAGAAACAATACCTCTTACATGGTCTCTGTACTGAGATCTACACTCTGGAATTCATTGAGAATGAAAAACTAAAAAAGTTAGAATGAGAACTTACTTTGTTATTTACAGGCTCCATATATTGATACTTCTCATTATTTATTCTTCATCCGAAATATGTCTTAATTTGTAATGTGCCAATTTCAAAAATTTTATCTGTTAACTCCT